GCGGGGCGCCCAAGTCCCCCCTATCGCCTAGGGGTAGCCTGTGGAGATGAGGTGCTAATAATGGGGCCTCTGGACCCAGGGCGGCCTGAGCTGGTACTGGAATAGATGGGGGCGTGGCCGTGTCCCCCACTCTGTTCAGGGGGGCCAGTCCAGCTTTGCCATTCTTGTGGGTGTTCATGAGACTCTGGTCCAGTGTCTGGTCACAAGTGCCCTCAAGACCCGGGGTCCTAGACGCTCCTTGCCCTCCAGGCCCTGTCCTAGCTTCTCTGCGACTGTGGGCTCTCCCCTGTAAAGCAGGGTTAAGAGTGAAATGGCACCGTGCTCTAGGGGGCTTCCCAAGGAAAGGGGGTCCGATGCCGCGGTGCTGGTGGGTGCTGGGGGTATGGGTTCTTGCATCTGGAATCACCAAATGTTCCTGTCTGTGGGGACCGGGTGAGTCTTCCAACGCCTCCAGTTGCCCCAAGATATCCTAAAGTTTAAAGCCACACCCTCCCTTTTGCCCCGGATGCCCTGTCCCTTCTCTTTGGCGGACTCTCCTGATATTTTATGATCCGTTACAGCTGTCAGTTAGATTTCTTCTCCCAGCATGCTTTGGGCCAGTGTCAGCGTGGTGCAGACCCTGCTCTGGAAATGGTCTGCAATGTCTGTGCCCCCTGGCCTTGGGCCACGTGCATCTCCTGTCCCCCGTGCAGGCACTCAGCCCGCCTGGTTCCTGATGCCTGAGGCCGGCACACAAAATGCCTTCCAGTTGCACAAGTCGATGTGCACACGTTTCTCAGAACTCTTCAAGATGGAAAGGGAAGTGGTGATTTTACATGTGCCTCTCATTCATTCAGCAATGATCTGGGTGTACCCTGTGTGCCAGACACTGGTGGGCCCCAGCAGCAAGCGAGACAGGCGGACCAGCCCTGGGGCAGACAAGAAACAGACTGGCAGACTGGGTTAGAGGTCAGGAGGGCTAAGGAGGACTGCAGAGCAGAGGAGGGAGGTGTCACTCAGCAAAGGACAGGGTTGGCAGAACGGCAGGACAGGGGCCTTGGGAGAGTGGAGGCCAAGCTGGAGGAGAGTGTGAGACAAGGTCAGAGAGGTGAGAGGGGCCATGCAGGCTGGGGTGCCTCCTGGGGTTGTGTGCCCGGGGGCCTTGGCTGGTATGGCCACAGAGCTATCTGGCTGCCAAGTTGATGGGCTGGCCAGGCCAGGGCAGAGGCCGGAAGCCTGTCCAGATAGGAGGTGGCTGCTTCTTACTTAGCCTAGGTCACCGTCCTGAGAGGTAGGTCCTACAGAGTCAGGCCAGCATCTGCGCAACGTCACGCAGCCAGGCTGATCCCACAGTGTTTGGTGTGGCGTCTCTACCCCTTCCTGAGAAATGTGTGGCACAGTTGACCATGGGTGGAGGTCAACACACTTCTCTCCGTACTCACGCCATTCCCTACTCCCTCCGCCCTCCCAGCCCTCCATGTACTGTACCTTCGGTGGCCACTCACTTGTGTCCTTTGGCCACTTGGACCTGCACTCCGTTCCCCTTGCCCCAGCCGTTCTGGCTGTCCTGCACCTTCTCTGGTGAGTCTGTCTTTACACAGAGCATACCCATATTCCATGGGAGGAATCCAGATGGGCTGGGCAGTAACTTGTTCAAAGCCATGCAGCAGGTAATGGTGGCTATGGGGTTTAAACCCAGGATGCTCTGTCCAGAGCATGAGCATGATTGCAGCCCCAGGAATCTACCTGACCCCACACAGTCTCCAGTACACTGGGCCCTGGCCTGCATGCTTCACTCTTCCATAGCAGAAACCTCGTCTGGGCCCCACAGAAATGTCCTCAGCCACTTTCCCTGGCCTCCCCTGCAGACCTCGGGCCCCCCTCCCTGGTATGGGGATCAAAGGGCCCACCAAATTCTAGCTCAGTGCCTGGTGCAGAGCTGCCTGTGAGACCACTCTGTTGCTGGTCTTCTCCGCGGGGCTTTGTGTGGTCCCCCGTTGCAGAGTAATCCACACCCTTATGGAGCCCTCCCTGCGCTCACTCACTCACAGCCCAGGTGAGACCCTCAAGATCTCTATTTTAAAGATAAAGAAATGGAGACTCAGAGAAGTGATGGAATGAGATATGCATTTACCAAACAGATGAAATGGTTCTAGGTGGTCAGTACATCCCCATGAGACAGAGTGCTGGGGTCCTGGGGAGTCAGGGCTGGCTGTCATTCTGGTCATGATATACGTGGACAGAGAGAACATCTGTTCAGGGTGTATGTGGACAGAGAGAAAGCCTCCCTTTCCCTGGCAATTTGTCCTCAGCCCAAACCAGCTTCTCTCCCCCTGTTCCTCCTTCCCCAGCTCTGCTCAAACCCCCCCCCCCCCCCCCCCC